GGGGGGGGGCTCGGCTTTGCGCAACATGTCACAATATTGCTATAAACTGTGAAGCTGTCATACATTCTGAATGCCGTATAATAGAGTATATTTAAATTAGGTTAAGTACTTTTTTAGATTAACTGGGGTATGTTGGAGAAATAGGATTCCTGCTTTTTGGTTAAGAATGCAATTTCTTGAGTTAACAGCAGATTTTCTTCTTGAAATTTATCTTCTTCCAGTTTTTCCTGTAATTAGAATGAGAAGCAATATGCCAAAAGAACCGCGAATTTTCACGGACGCAGCACATAAAAATACAGGATATATTTTTCTAAATAAAAAGACTCACAAACACGAAGCCTATAAATAGTAGTATGCCTATAGGTCATTACGTATTACTCCTTCTCTATGACTCTGGAACAGTATAGCTTAGAAGCAAAACAAACTCCGTGGTCTCTAGTCCGCAAGCGAAATATACCGACCGAGCGACGGCCGCTTGTCGCCGAAGTTAGTGCTAAATTTTGCGGATAGAGGACGTCAAGTGGTCAGCGCAACGAATCTCCACGGCCGTTAATCTCGGTTTTCTAGACCTGAGCCGCTATTTCCTGGAAATAACTTCTCAATTATCCTCTTGAGGCTGAGTGGACCCCGTTCCAGACCCACTACTTCTCAGAAAATCTGGTAGCGCCGGAAATCGAACCCGGAGCATATGAGATAAAAATATAACTTCACCACTAACGATATTCCAAGATGCCATTACACTGGATATGTGATGAATAAATAAAACGAGGGCGGACGCTTTTAATTTTAGACTTATTTTCCGATTACTGCTCTCCAAAAAACATCTACTTCCTGAAGTCTTAATCTTCACCGTAACTCGGTGTTGTATTGTGCTAAAACTGGATTGCCGTAGTTGACATTTATCAGGAAGTGAGTCAGATGAATTGGTATAAAACTCTCCGCTGTTAACAGGCCATCGTCAGAACTCAGAAACAAGAGGATACGTCCCGCCCCTCTATCAACGTCCTGCAGTCTAGAAATACTATGGCAAGACGAGAAATTGTGGAGCACTGTTCGGGGCGCTTTTGTTTCGTCCTCTTTTTATCCTCATCCTACTGACCTCGGTATTCGATTGGCATGTGAGAAATACAGGATACTGGACGCTAGAGATCGTTGTGAGAGGAAGCCTTAAACTCTGATATCACACATAATACTATTGTTGCAAGAGGAACTAAATTTACGTGTTCCTCTCTGGTATCGGGTTGCAGAATATTGCCAGCTTTATTAAATGAGACGCTGTTACATAAAGGCTATAAACCGTTGCTATAGAACAGAGCAGGTCTGGCTGTAATTCAACAGCGCTGGTGCTCCCAACCTTTGCCACAAACAGTGGTAACACAACGCCCACAGAATTCTCTTACATTTTTCTGCGCAAAGAAACTACTATTTATTTATTTTTCTTCCCTGAACTGTAAGACTACTCTAGCAGTACATAATGTGGCAATCAATAATTCTGCGTGAAGCCGCCAGGGAGCAGTAATAGCTTGAGCTGCCATATTTCGCTTGCGGTGTCACTGAGCACAGTGTTAGAATGGCCCTGGGGTGTCGTAATATTCACAACTTTAAACAGTAATACGGTAGGAGGCAGCAAAATAAACTGCGAGTTGGATGCGCAGTGGAAACGTCGTGCTGCAGGGCGTTAAGGGTGTATGTGTAATGTTCACTACAGCGTTCACTAGCGGTTTCAGAGCCTACAGGTTCAACACCGCTAAAAACAGTACCAGCCTCTGGGCTCGACATTTAAGACAGTTCGAATCTCCTATCCCCACAACTCATATTTTGAACATTCATCTTTTTTATATCCTCCCATCTAGTTTGCGGGTTCATCAAGTGGGTATTTTCTCGTATGTTTCTCCATTAAAGTTTTGTTGGAATTCCTTCTCTGTCCATCCAAGCCATACGCTCAACCATTGTTAACTGTTCTAACAATATTTGGTGACATGTACAGATTATAGGATTTATTGTTATATAATATACTAAATTTCTGAAGAGTTTTGTTGACACAACGTGCATGGGGACAGAGATGCAAAAATCTGCTTAATTTCTTTCAAGTAAACCTCTGTACACTAATTTTATTTCTAAATAGAAGGCCTATTTTAAATTATGTTCCAAACAATAGAGTAATGTAGGCTATAAATAACAATCCATGAAGCTGGAGGTGACAAGAACTCCTGGACTGCCGTTTCTTAACTCGTTTTCTACTCTAGTGGCTTTCAGGAAATAAATTTCGTTGCTCCTACTAGGTCTTGGAGTATTGTTTTTATTGCTAGTGGGGTGGGACTAAGTCCTTTGTACTCCGGCCACTTCTGGCCTATTGTACCAGCCCCAGATGATAGGTGAGGGTGATTGTGGAGCAATTGGTGGAATGAAGATTGGCAGGGGAAACCGAAGTACTCGGAGAAAACCTGCCCCAACGCACTTTGTCCACCAAAAATCCCACTTGACCAGAGCCGGGATCGAACCCGGGCCGCCGCGGTGGGAAGCCAGCGACTAACCGCTTGAGCTATGGCTCGGCCTGACGTCTTGAAGTAAGTAAAGAAACTTGGAAGGAAAGATAAAACCTCTAAGTTTTTTGTAATTTAGCATATTAATCCAGAGACGGGTCTACTCACCGCTTGGCTGGTTGAACATTCCTGAAACAAAAAAAAAATATTTTTAAGAATTGTTTAAAATACAGTCACATCATCAAGATTAGTAATTAAAATGTCGAAGAATGAGCGAAAGAAGACAAAGGACAATACAGTAAAACAGCTAAACCGTATCGCAATTTGTACTGTTACTCATGCACTGTGTGAATATTTTGCAATGGTATAAGACCAACACTGTTTACATTATGAAGAATGTCGTCTTCTGGGATGTGGCGTCTTGTAGATCTTGTCTGAACCGACGTTTCGGAGGAACGTATAGCCTCCATTTTCAGGGTATAAAAATCCACCAGCGAGGAACCAGTGTGAGTGGACTAAGCACAGTCTGCAACCACCTGCCCACGCTGGTTCCTCGCTGGTGGAGCCACATCTGAGGAGACGGCATTCTTCATAGTCACCGCTGTGAAAACGTAAAATCTTACTGTTTACATTAGTTTAAGTTCATCGGCATTTCTTGAAATAATTACAGGCTTAGTAACATATTTCTCTCTTCCAATTCGGCATTCTGTAAATTGGAGCTCACTGTGACTTGTCTTCTTGTTTCAACAAGCCATCTTGTCAACTTGTTGAGGTGACTGAACGGCCTATCGATCTGCAAGGCTTCTCAAGGAGTGAGGTTGTGTCATGGATATTCTTCAGCTCCTCCCGGATACTCTGTGATGGTTGGAACATGGTTATGACCCCAAGGAAACAATTCAGGGAAAGCACTGATCAGATTCAGGCAGCAGTGTCGAACAAGACGAAAGTGAAAAACATATTCATGTCGGTCATAGCGGCCTCACGGCTTAAGACACCGAAGCCTTCGACTGTTCTAGCACCGCAGTTCCTACGTCGACCCCCGCTCTTGGTAGCGACGTGTGACCGTGCGCTTACACGTTGCCTTGTCCACCACAGAAGAGGTTTCTGGGTTGGCAGACCCACCATCCAGAGGGCAATACGATATACCTCCTAGATTTACTCTTTCCTCAATAATCTGATTAGGAACATGACGATTTTGTGCATTCTTAAGAAGTTGTTCAAGTGATAAGTGATTTTAAGAATTACTGGGACTTCAGCGTGCGAACCTTAGTGAATTCTACTTTTACGTAACACCCTAAACGCTTTTTATGGGCCTCAATGTAGTTTCTTCGTGATGAATACTGACAGAGCACTAATTTAAAATATATTAATGGCGTCTCCTATCCCTCTGCTCGTGCATTCTTATTCAAATCCACAATTACCAAACATAAACTCTACCTTCGACAGCATTTCCTAATAACCGACACTGCAAACATTGGTGATTCTTGTGAGCCACATTGCCTCAGCCAAATACATTTTATGTGTGTGTATGTGTGTGTGTGTGTGTGTGTATAGTAGCCACAGTGCTGTGAAGGGGGCAGGCAGACAACTGCTATTTTATAAACGAGATATGTTAATGATAGGCTACACTGTTCTTACTCTATATGCTATGTATTTGTACATATGGGCGAATGTCTATACATATATATATATATAAATCGCCTACAGAGGTGCTATATGACATGTCCTCTGGAATACCAACAACACTATGACACATGGAACCTATGTGGTGTCAGAAATAGAACTGTATTACCTTGAGGTCGGTGACTGCGAAGGCCAGACTACAGAAGTGACGATGATTCAACGGGTCAAACGTACGGTGCCTTTTGCAGATTGTCACACTAAAATTTTATGTCTATAATAGGATGTGGTTTAAGATTAATTGTGGGTCATTGGTTATAGTTAAGAATAGGAACAGAAGAAGGGAGCAATAAAAGACAATGGAAAGTACAATCTTCAGTCAATATTGCTGTCAGGACTCCACCCCGCCAAAAAAATAGTTACCTTGCGTGCATATTCGTTGAAATTATGGTTCAAAGTGTCCCCCAAGGACCATAACGTACAAGAAAATATCAATGGAAGGGTTACTTGTTGGAGCTGTAGTTAAAAGGTGGAAGTTGTCCATTTTTTTTAGTTGGATTTTCAACGGAAATTTCACTAGAATCATGTTGTAACAACAGAATGATGCATAACCTTATTACAGCCATATTCCCTTCTTCCTCATTATCAGCCTCGACTTATTTTCTCCAGCTCTCGGTAGACTGCTGTCAGAGGTATGCAACTAAAAGAGTTCTTAACACAGTCATAGAACTGCAGTATGTACGTGAAGTCCGGAATCTCGAGCCCAAGTTTCATGCCACCGGCACAGATATGGCTCAAGGACAAAAATGGTATTCCATTCCTTAACAAAATGAACAAATGAGAAACACCCTGTACCTATTCCTCAGTTAAGACGTCACTTTTAACTACGCACACCTCGTGTCCGGGGAATGTTCTCTGGGGTGCACACAGTCATGACAAGCTAAACCAATGGGAGTTGTTAAAGAAGTACGGGAAAGCCAAGCACGCCTTAATCAAGCCTCATGTAGTGGCCTGAGTATTGTGACGTTCTGACATTCGCTTTTCATTTGTTAAGAGTGCAAGTGGCGTGACGTCATGAATCACGTGATCAATAGCGTGCAGCACGTACGTGACATACCGTTGTAAGCATGGAGCATTCATCGGAACGGTATGGCATTCCGGAAGTCGCTGGAACGTTGTGTCGGCGGCAATGATGTTTTCGCTGTCACGAAGCTGAACGACCGTTGCTACATCTACACTTGGGCCTCTTCAGAAGCGATATCAAATGCGCAGGCGATGGCTCAGTCGATATAGCGACGGCTTAAGGGCTGGACACCAGGGGTTCTATTCCCGGCAGGGATAAGAGATTGTTCTCTACTCCACAGCGTCCACGCCAACTCTGGAGAACACAATGGGTTCCTCGGGTTCTTCCCCCGGAAGTACAGCGGCAGGTGCGTGATGCCGACCACTCACCTCCGTCTAGTGCCGAGGTCAAGAATGGTGGATATGTACCTCCACTTCCCACACGTCTTCACAGCGCGGTGCTTAGTTAATTAAGAAGAGGGATATCTTTACCTTTAACATACCGCCATTCAGTTATCTGACAAAACAAATTCTAAGTTGCGTGAACACTGTCGCTTTGTAGCAGTGTAATATAAACCTTACGAAGAATGTCATATATATATAGAGACGCCGTGTAGTCTGGTACATATTTATAGATATTTCACATGAACGTGCTGCCTCCATCTTCAGGGTAGAACAGTAAGCTGAGTATGAAAAAAGTGACATGACATGGGGTGAGGGGGCCATAGTCTGGACGTACTGAAAGGACTAACGCCGGAAGAATCTGAGACCAATTATATAACGGTTCAGAATGAACCAACGGGAAGTAGTGGGAAGCCAGCACGTTCCTATGAAACGTCGGTGACCATCACTCAGACAATAGGGCATCACGTGGCAGAAGGCAGTTATTCTTCACTGTCACGGTGAAAACCTCAAATCTCACAGGAAAACTTTCGTTTCTCTGACACGGATACTAAAATGGGATGAATCAGTACTACTTACTTGCTTTCAGAACAGTGAGAGCAGTAAATTCTAAATGGTTCTAACTATGGTGTATCAGACTCAGAATTATTGGGTTATGTCCAGTGATTGAGGTTAGATGTTTCTAAGGGATCTAACAGTAAGTGTCTTGCCGCCTCACCTGAGGACGGAAACATCCAGTTTCCGAAACGTTGTGTTTTCTATTTTCTAGGATACCGGACGATTGACAAAGTCCAAAAACTCGGTAATTCTGAGGATTAAGGTAATCTTCTCCTATAATACTTAAGTATACTGTCACGTGTCCGGGGTTCCCTGACAAGAAATTGTGGGTTCCGGATTAGACGAAGCTGTTTTATTGGATAAGTCGTTACAATTATAATCACAATCATTCGAAAATACTGTCTTGCAGACGATACGACCTGAGTAGTCCGTCGTCTCTCACTTTTCGTGTTCTGGTTCATGGCTGAGATCGTTTCTTTTGTTCTTAGCTCTGCTCCGGCCTTCTCCGATCTCATCTCCGCTCCGGTCTTCTCTGATCTGTTCAGTCGGACGGACTAAAAGACAACTTCTTGAAGAGTTTCGTTTCCATAACGGTTGTCTGCGCTGTCTCGGGAACATGTTTACATTTTTAGGTAACACTTAGATTTTATGTCTAGCTATTGGTTGTTGCGGGAACAACGCTTACTGAGCCCTTGCCGAGTAATGGACGTCCCTGTATGCGCTGTCTCGGAAACATGTTTTAACAAGCCGTTTTCAAGCAATTGACAGCGACTCAGATATTCTGGCTTTTAGGTGGCACTCCACAATATTAACTTTTTTGCTGGTTAGGGAAGTATTGGCGCTGGTGATGCGACACCTGACCGCAGGGTAACAGGCGAAAACATTGATCCATGTGCTCATTGAAGAGTCTCTTCCTGTCCTCTCTTAGCATCTTGCAGTCGAGCTTATGTTTCCCTCTTTGAAATTTGATACAGCCGAGTGGTGCATGCGAAAGTCGTGTTTAAGGTTCTAGAATACCTGACAGTTTATGGGTAAAGAAATTCATTACGATTTTCATAAAATCCCCCCACTGGACCCTATCTTAGAGCCATTTCAATTCATGCATCCTCACATCCTCTTCAAGGTATACTTTAATCTTCTTCGGCTTCAAAATTTGTACGTATTTATCTCTCCCATATGTGTTGCAAGATTCACCAATACAGTCGTTGTTGATTTGATTACCGTAGTAATTTTGGGTAAACTGTACGAACTGTGACATCCATTATGCAATCTGCTTTGTGGTCCTGTTTCTCCCTCCCACCTCTTAGTTGTAAATATTCTCAACACCCCGTTCCAATCTCTGGTCTTCCTCTTGGGTGGGAGACCAACTTCCACACCCATGTAAAATAGCAGCAAAACACCAGTCAAAACAGCACAGGAACATACAAATTTGCATCCATTTACACGATTCAAATGTTCGAACAATCCTTAGCTAGCGTGACCACTGTGATAAGTTATTTACTACCGCTCCTTGTTGATTGGCTCATTTAACGATTTTCTTCAACTGA